AATTTTTTCTTTTGTTTTTACAGATTTATTTGTTTACTTACTTAATCATTTAAAAGGTAGAGAGTCATAAGGTGAAGGAGAAAGAGAGAGAGAGAGAGAGAGAGAGAGAGAGAGAGAGAGAAAGAGAATCTTCCATCCACTGGTTCATTCCTGAAATGGCTGCAATGATATTGCTGGGCCAGGCTGGTGCCAGGAGCTTCTTCTAGGTATACCACATAGATTTCAGGGGCCCAAGCTCTTAGGACATCTTTCACTGCTTTCCCAGGCATATTAGCAGTGAGCTGGATCAGAAGTGGAATAGCCAGGTCTTGAACTGTGTGCTCTATGGCAACACAGGCAGAGACTTAGCCCACTACATTACAGTGCAGGCCCCAGAAAAAGAACTTGCTGTCTCCTTTATTCAAAAGAGACTTAGGCCTCTGTTACCCACAACTGCATCTTTACTCCTTTAGGTCATGCTGTCTTTAATACAATCTTTAGTATACACTCACAATGCAGACCCTCCTTTCAATCCTAAACACAAATTAGTCCCCTTAGAATCTGGGACTATGTACAGAGCTGAAACATCCGTGGTCACAGCTCAGTGCCTTGCCTGCTTTGCTCACTGCCAGGTTCCTTAGTAGGCACCTCATCTTTCTCCCTTTGCTCCATGCTAGTAACTCTCCAGTTAGGCAGTATTCATTAAGTATTCAGTTTGTGCAAGATTTTATGCTTAGAGGTACAGAAACTAGAAGCAGTATTGTTTGTTGAACAACCTGAGTACTAGGTGCTACTCTGAGGGGCATCCATGCATGCATTTATGCATTTGGTCCTTACCACATACATATGAAGTAGGTTCTATCATGAGCCCATTGTCCGTAACAGCAATGGAGGCGCTGTGAAGTAAAGTGAATCTTGCAAGGTTCTGAGCTCAGGAAGAGTGTGTCTGAGGCTGGAGCCTGGGCAGTTTGCCCCAGGTTCTCAGTTCCCAAGCAAAGTGCCTACTCTCCCTCCAAGAACATTGGGGATGATTTTTTTCTGTTCAAGAATTCCATTAATTTGCAAAGACTGTGGGCTCTCCATTGTTCTGCAAAAAGGAATGTTAATATTTGAAAATTGCAAGGCCCATTTTGGACAGAAAGTGTTACAGATTTGACTAACGTAGTAATTATTTTGTCAGATGATCATAGCACTTCCAGAAAGGCTAATGTTACTGCATTAGCGTTAACTTTAGAGTACGCAAAATTATTTTCTGAATTTGTAATCTAGACAATGCAATTACATTAGAGCAGATTTTGGCATCTTCTTATTACTATTACTTTGGATAAAAATAGGACAACACTTTTTCCCTTAATAATAACTTTATATAAACCAAGTGAAAAAATCATCAGGTTATATTGAAAAGTGATAGTCCCAAATTATATATGAAGCTATAATAAACAAAAATAATTGTCCTTCCTCAATACATTTGAAATGACTTCTTGGAAAGGCAGTTATTCCTAATAGAGTACTCACACAAAGCATTTAGCTGTCAAATGAAAAGCCATTTAAAAACCAGATAGAATAAGAAGAAACAGAAGACGCGGCACTTGTACTTTTGTTCCAAATATTTGGAATGATTGGGTACGCTATGTGATGTGAACATTCTTGGTTATGGGGGTTTTCAAGTTGCCATGTTGAGGTTCCTGAGGGTAGAGCTGGGAAGAGGGGCGCAGAATCTGCCTCTCACTGCTGCTATAGGAAGACTCAGCACATCACCAGGCTGTGAGCTGACCAGAGACAAACAGCTTGCCAGGGACAGCACAGTGTCTTGAATTATGCCAGACACTTCTTCAAAATATGACTCACTTGAAAAGCAGAGATTCAGGGAGAGACACATCCTCTACCCATGGGTTCACTCCCCAAATGCCCATGATGGCAGGGGTGGAGCCAGGCTGAGATGGGACAGCCTAGAACATGATCCAGACTTCCTTCATGAGTGATGGGGACCCGAGTAACTTGAGCAGTCATTCCCTGCCCCACAGAATAGGCATCAACAGGAGGCTGGAATACATTCACAAGAAGTAGAGTGGAAGTGACTTAGGATACAGACTTGCTATATGGGATGTGGACAGCCCACGTGCCTCCTAACCGTTGCACCAAAAGCCTGCTCCTGTGCTACAAATCAAGGAGAGTGTATCCAGGACCATACGCTTGAGAACGTCTTGTGCAAGTACAGAGATGTGTCTCCTGGACAAAGGGATATGGAAAAGAGTGAAGCCTTTGAGTAATTGAGGCATATAGGGAGAGCATGCACAGAGCCCTGTACATGCCTGCTGTACATTGCTGCACTGATGGTGACTTTCAGTACTCAATAACATCGTTGTCCAATAGGAGTGTAAAATATAAACCCCTGTCCATCTTGCTTAGGTAGGAAGATAAAACATGTTGCAAATGAACAGATGAACAGTTTTACTGGCAGTTTGATATTTACTTATTTATTTGAAAGAGTTACACACACGCACACAGAGACAGAGCGAGATTTTCCATCCAACAATTCAGTTCCCACATGGCAGCAATAACCAGACTGAAGCTAGGTTCCTGGGACTCGTGCAGAATCTCCCCTGTGGTTGGCAGCAGCCTAAGCACTTGAGCCATTCCTCACTGCTTTCCCAAGTACAGTAACAGGGAGCTGGATCTGAAGTGGAGCAGGCAGGATTTGAGCCAGCAACTGTTTGAGATTCACAGGCACTGTTTCATCACAGTCAGCCACCTTGCCTGCTACATCATGGAACTACACAGGGTCTTCCTCTTTTGAAAGAGAATGGAACATGTTGCTTTGCCTTTTCCCCATTTTAATGGAGACAAGATTAAACTTGTGCCAGAAGTTACTTGTGTAGTAACCTTTTTTTTCTGTATCAATGGGAAACGTACTAGAAAATCCAAAACTCATCCTAACATGAGTTTATCAGTACAGATTTCCTTTTTAAAATGAGCTTCACATCACTAACTTTGCGGTTGGGCTGGAACATCTAGGGATGTTTGATCTTGGTTTTGGTCCTTACCTTGAACTTACCGGAAATTTGGATATGAGTCTATCACCACAAATCAGGATGTTGAGAGCTTCCAGGGATCTCCACTGCAGGTGCGTTGGGGAAGGTCCTTCCAGCTGCCAACAGCAGCTTTTAGCTGGCTCCGCCTTGTACTTGAGTGCTCAGGAGGGTGCGTCTAAACCCTTTGGTCTCCTCAGGGCTCTGCATGAGCCAGAGTTCCCTGGTGCAGGACACGTTTGTGGTCTTGCCCAGAGATTTCACTCCTGAGCTTTCGTCCACCCATTGGGAATCTTGGCATCTCGCTCATGTTCCACACAGGATTCTTCTTGGCATCATCTACTCTTCTGCTCTGTTTAGTTGCAAACTCAACATGCAGGCTGCCTCTAGTTCTTTGAGTCAAGCCAATCTAGCCTCCAGGACTGGTTATGCTGCCATTCACAAGATCTTACAGGTTATCCGTGACTTCTCCCAGCCTGTCTATTCCACATCCCTCTTGTTCCAGGAACTAAAGTCCATCAAATGGATTACATTCTCTAGGTTAACACCCTAGGGAACCCTCCACTCAATCATCTTTATATTGCCTTGACACAGCTCATTTCAGTATAAGTAATGGGAGCTGGTGTTGTGGTGTTATGGGTTAAACCAATGCCTATGCCACTGTCATCTCATATGGGCAGCAGTCTAACACCAGGCTGTTCCACTTTTGATCCAGCTCCCTGACACCTGCTCGGAAAGCAGAGAAAGAGGATCCAGGTGCCTAGGCACCTGCACCCCAAGGGTCCTGGGTTCAGCCTGGCCCAGCCCTTCCTGTTTACTGGCAAACTATTCCTGTATCTTTGGGAAATAGCTATTTTTAGGGGGGGAAAAATCAGAAATGAAGATGAATGAAGACATAGTTGCAAAAATCTCTCATCATTTGTAAAATTCTGAGCTTTTCTTTTTTTGCCTTACAAATTACTTTCTGCCCCTAATGTTGATGATTTTTTTTAACATGTTTTCTTGAAAAGTTAAATGAATCTTCCTCATACCCCAACCCTCCAACAGGAGAAATGAATTCTCCAGGAACTTTAAGGTTTTAGGACCATTTAGTCATTAGAGTGCACAGAACAGATTGCACATGGAAGCGTTGGTGGCCATTGCCACTCTCACGGAAGGAGGGAGACCATGATCTCAGAAAGATAAGCAAGTGAGCAAAGTATTGTCTAAGTTCCATCTTCCATCTTAGCCTTTTTCTGACAAGCCATGCATCAAGATTTACTGTTGTATTATTTCACTTAGGTGACACTTATGCCTAAAGTAAAACTAAGGTCATTCTTTTTACCTTGTATTTTTATTTAAAAAAATATATATACTCATTAACTTTTAGTAACTTCTCACAACATTGTATTCCTCCAAACTTGCCCACAAAATTCTAGTTGTGTGTTTTTCTTTTTTTGTGCCCAAACAGTGATGTGAACATGTCGAATGACTTACTGGTTCATCTGGCATAAGTGACTGAAAGCTTGAATGCTTATCTGAACTTTATCTGAACTATCCCGAGTTTTCTTGGGTCTATAAAATTGGAACTGAAATCTCATGGAAACTGGCTCTCTTAAGAAATTTTTGGTGAGCCAGAAGTCCTATGAGAGCAGCCTTTCCCGTGGTGTTTTGGCAATTTTTACTTTGGCCCCAGAGAGAACCAGGAAGTTCAGAGGTGAATGAGAATGAAAAATAATAAAATGGTAACTGATCTTTTTTTTTTGTTGTTATTGTTGTTACTTCGGAAAGCTCAGCTGAATATTCTTTTAAGAACATGATGTTGAGTCATCTCAGCAATCCCAGGCCTTGTAACATACGGAAAGAAAGATTTGGGACACAGTGAGCAACTGAACCCATCTATGACAAAGAAGGAAATTACAATGTACCATTTTCTCATGTATTCCACACTGTTTTATTGAAGCACCTTTTTGAGATGTACACATTCTATAAAATCATTAGTTACATTGTGGTGTTGGTTGAAAATCACACTGACCATGACCATGACCGTGGGTGAGACTTAACCCTCTGAGATTCCAGGGATGTCAGTGTGATTCCCATTGCTTCCATGTGGGTAAGTGAAAAAAGTGACAAGTGAAAAAAAAAACACATTGATTTCATTGTCACTAGCCCTCCTGTGGCATATATTTTAAAGAGTGAATGTCAACTTTTTATGCCATTCTTCACTTAGAGTTTAGCAGAAGTTTGCACCGTAAGGATTACTGGATTGCTCTGTAACCCAGGTCCTATTGGTAAGCAAATTCCTCTAGGAGGAGCATTTCCTACAGGGACAACAGAGCATTCAGTGTTGTGTTCCTATCCAGCTCTGCCGGTAATGTCGTTGTGCACCAGGATTCTCGTCAGGTGTTAAAGCTATGAATGACTTTGCTCTCGCTGGCTCTTCACCAGGTTGTAAAGGGGAAGTCTTGATGACTTTGTCTCCTACTGACTTCCCTCCAGTTACCACCAACAGCATGTGGCCGGGCTGTTGCTGTCAACCTGTGTCTTCTACTTGAAGGGCCTGAGGTTCAGACGATTGGAATCATTTATGAAGCGGTGGGGGTGACACTCAAACCCCGCCCTTTGGCTCTTGGCCGTCATAGCACCCAGGAAATGCAAGCAGGAAATGCAGAATACTGGACCCAATGATCTTTTTAAAGAAAACAGTTAGGAAGGAGCTCAGCGTCAAGAAAGATCTTGCGAACACCATCACTACTTCCTCTGTAGATGTTACGCATCACAAGAGTACTAATTGACTATTCGAGGATGGGTCTGTCTGTCTTGCGAGCCCCACATTAAATTCTAGGTTCTTTTTGTCTAGAGATTTGGATAATGATAATTTATAAATATTTTAAAACCTGCAACAATATATATAATTTTTTTAGTGTTCCAAAAAGCCTAAGTTTGTGAACCTCTGAAAATGTTCAAAATTGTAGATGAAATGAATGCCCTCCCCGCCCCCCAAAGATTCTTACTTCATTGTTTTTGCTGGCCGTGTTTTAAAAGCCATTCCCCTCCAGTGAACTAAAGGACTGAACTTTGAATAAATGATGGCATTTGGCTCAGTTGCATGCATGCTGTGATTTGTAAAGGATTGGCATCCGCCAGCCTGGCTTGTGTCTCAGACATTCATCTGGAATACACTCACTCAGGGCAGTGCAGGGCCGGGGAGACACTTGAGGCAACGAGGGGGTGAATTCCAGGCTGAATGATAACTCCCTGTAAAAGTCAAGCTTGAGAGGAAAAGAGTCTGTGAGGACTGCCCATGGGCAAAGGGACCGTGCATGAGGTTGCTGGAAAACACCAAAGTGTGCATGTTTCCACAGACTACCCCCAGGCTGGCTTTGTGAGTACAGTTGGCACTCCTACAAAAGATAACCTTGCCTGACACTAACCCTGTCAGTAGTTCAGGGATAATATTTTCCCTCAGATGAACTGCTCTTGAACTGCTTCTGTAATCTATTTGGTGCAAACAGGCCTTCCTTCAACATCAGGCATCCATGTCTTATGGCTTGCCCATTTGTTTATTGTAAAAATATATTTATTATGGCCAATGCAAGCAAAGCCCTCCTTTTCAACAGGGTTTCAATTCCCCTGAAACCTTCTCATGCTGTGTACCACAGCCCTGATGATGAAGTATACGCAAGCTCATTCCAAACCATGTCCCATGTTTTCTTTGGATTTTGCCTCCTAAAATCTATTACTAACCAGCAACTCCTAGGGTTTTATGACCTTTTGCCATCATGATGCTTATCCTTTGGACTTGAAATGATTTTCCTTCTCTTGATGAAAATGTCAAGTGCGCCTGAGGAGCTAGCCAGAAAGTGGACGCTGGGCTAAGCAGAAGGAGCAGCAGCCGAATGTTCTAACAGAATAGTTATGTTTGAAAAAAAAACCCACAGGAGTACAAGAGGGCTACTTGAAGGGATCCATGCAAAGTACAGCGTTGTGCTGTTGGCCGCATGTGTTGTGTTTAGATTCATCCTCCATGAAGTCCATCGAATCTGCCTTTGGACAGACAGCGGAAGAAATGGACACCCTGAATGGTTCTAGACATGGGGGTTCTGGTGGGAAGTAATTCATTCGGAAATATTTTATTTTAAAACACGCCTATTCAAGTAAAAGGCAAAGTGACAAAGAGATGAAAGAGATAGAGAAGGAGAGAGGGAAGAAGACGGGTGGGGGATAGAGACTAAGAGAGGTAGGGAGGCAGCGTTGTGGCATAATGAGTTAAGCTGTTGCTTGCAATGCCACCATGCCATTAGGCCACCTGTTGAGCTCCAGCTTTTCTGCTTCCAATCCAGCTAATGTCCCCGAGAAAGCAGCAGAAAATAGTCCAAGTCTTTAGGACCTGGATGAAACTTCTGGTTTCAGGATTCAACCTGGCTCAGCCCTGGGTGTTGAGACCATTTGAGGAGCAAACCAGTAGATGAAAGATCTCTCTTGGTGTTTTTATCCATCTGCTTTCTGTGACTCTGCCAGTCAAATTAATACAGAGAGAGAGAGATTTTGAATCTGCTAGCTCACTTCCCTAATGGTCATGATAGTTAGGACTGGGCCAGGCAAAGCCATGAAGTTCATTCTGGTCTCTCATCTGGAGTGACAGTAATTGAAGTACTCGAACCATGATGTGTGGCTCCAAGCTGCATTATCAGGAAGCTAAATCAGAAGCATGGGGATCTGGGACTCCAACCAGGTAGCCTCATTTAGGCTCTGAGGACCCCAGGCAGCAGCTTAACCTGCTGTGCCACAACATCATTCTCAAATATTTTCTTAAATGGCTTTTATGCGTTAGGAAAAAACAAGACCGAAAAAGAACTATTATGACAAATCCATTTACACTTCGTCTACATGAATCTGCTCAGTCCCCATCTTTCATAAATAAAGCTAAAATTGATTTTGATTCCCATTCTTTTGAATGCCAAAAGATCTTTTTTGCGCATGTTAGATACCATTTATTCCCATGATAAGAAAAGTCAAGAAGAAGGATGTATGTTTTTATCTGGTCAACAGAGCAGAGGGGGCTCTATGGAAGAAGAGTCAGTGTTTCTTTAAGCACATGAAGCAAGTGTGTGGCTAGCACGTGGACCACCTGTTTGCCAATTGGGAAAAGTTCCCTATTCTCTTAGCACCTGACTGCACTATGGAACACTTGTATTCTAAATGAGAAAACCCACGGCGTCTGTGAGATCTTAGGCCTTCTTCCCTGTGCAGGGCGCATGCACACACAGTAGTCTGTTCCACACAAATTGGAAAGTCTGTAAGCACATATCAATATAAACACAAAGCCTGCTTGCAAGCAACACCTGCCAATACTGTTCTGTCACCAGAGATTTCCAAGGAATGTTCTCTCCCAAGCACATGTTTAGTTGTGGACTTGTGATTACTGTTAGCATTTCATCACAACCACTTTTACCATCCTTTTCCACAGATCATCCTTCCCTCTCCAAATTTCCCTGCATACTTTTTTCCTCGGTCGAAAGTATTTGTTCCTTCAGTGAGTCTGGCCCAGTTTTGCATTGCTATTTGTGGGCTGTGTCGTTCTCCTAACTTATTTTCAAGTTTCCCTCCTCCAACTCGAATGGATGGCATAAAGTCCAGGAATCAATTTCCTGACCATAAGAGTACTAAATCTCTGAGCTATATATTTAAGTAGGTTTGTGTCATGGAAATTCTAGAATCCTACCATCCCAGAGTAAAAAGTACAGATGTGTTTTTCTGTCTGTACCTTAAGCATGCTACCTATCTCATTTGTCATATGCTCACATGACAGGAAGAGGAAACGAATGCAAAATAAATTAGTGAGAGCCTTCTTTTTTTTTTTTTAACTTCAAGCATCCAGTGACCAGAAAAACCCCAAATCTGTAAGTTCCAGTTGCTTTTACACTAGGGTACTCATCTCATTGTGTTGGTAAAACCAAACTGAGATAATCTCAGGATTTAATTAATATCTAAAAACACCAACTATATAATAAAGCCTTATGGGTTATGGATTTAAACACAAGACATATCTGGGCAGGCTAAAGCATTTAACATCTCCTCCCAAGCACACAACTCTTTCAGACTCCTGTTCACTGCCATATTCTAAACTGTCAGTTGGCAAAGCCATTTTGGGGGAATTGAGGGACAAAATGGGAAAAAACAATTCTCCTAAAATGTTATCAATGCAAGCTTAGATTTGGAAAATATGGTTTAACAACCATGAGTAGGTTAGTTCTTTAATATAGTGAGAAAGAAATTTTAGAACTGCCGTTCATCACTCATTTTTTCCCCTACCTGTTCTGTGCTCTAGAGCTTGTGTATTTTTACTCTTAAACCAGAATATAGTCAATATGAATGCTCTTTCCCCACACAGGAAGAGACTGACACCTGTCAAAAGCTGAGACACCTCGAACACATTCATCTCCAATGATCTCCAGTGACACAGTAATTGAGTGAGTATGCACACATTCAATTTTTTTTTGCAACAATATGAATGTAACCTTTAATTTCATTTTGCGTGAGCTGTTGTACCGTTACCTCCAGTGCCTCTGTAGGGTTTGAGATGGGTGAACTTGTAGGAAATTTGCATGACATCCTAGTCCCTTCTCAGTGGACTAAGTTTGCTTTCATGTGTCTGACACCTTGGACTTTGAGTAAGATTTCAGCTGAGGAAGGATTCAGTGACTGTCATAAGTTCAAAAACCATTTGTGTAGGAAGTGTGTTGACACGCAATCCTTGAGTCATTTCCCAAATGTCTTCTCTGTTCCAACCTTTGCCTCTATTTCATCCTCCCCTCCCCAAGGGCAGGCCTTGTGTTGTCATCAGCGCTTCAACTCACATACGAGCTGACAGACAAGCATGCAGGAAAACCTTTCCAATAATTGTATTGGGAAACACCAGAAGCGAAGGGACCACATTTTCAATAGAATTCATAGAAATGGTGATTAAATTGAGACTGGCTAAGCCTGCCCTGTAAAGGATAAGACGGGGGAGAAGACAATCAGAATTTTTATTATTTTTAAAGATTTATTTTATTTTTATTGGAAAGGCAGATATACAGAGAGGAGAGACAGAGAGGAAGATCTTCCATCTGATGATTCACTCCCCAAGTGA